GCTTTACAGACATGTCAGTCAGAAATAGTGCCAGAGTGTGGCAAATATCTGTTCAAAGTATTTTATATGAATTAAGCTTTCCACGAGAAAGAAGTGACTTCACTTGTCTTCACTTCTTAGTTTGGTACAGTTAACCATCCTGCACTTAAAACCCCACTTAAATCACTCATGCACTGATGTGTTCACTTAGATGAATAAATTTTCCACTACCAGCTGTCCAAGCTCACTGATAGTTAGCATTTAGCTCACTAAGAGCTAAGCTAACTAAGGTTAACACACCTCTTGAAATGAACTGCAAGAAACAAACCCCAACAAATATAAAACACCGTGCAGTGACTTCAGTTCTATCTGTCTCTTATTTTGTTTCAGGTGTAGAATTCTGCACCTGGAAATTCTCCCCAGCCCTTAGTCCTTGGAGCCAATAGTATCAGGGCAAATGGGACATGTTCAAATCCTGAGCACTCAGGGCTATGAAGACATGTAACAGTCTTAAGGCAAGTAATTGAATGGCTAAACATGAGTTCCTAATATTCTGCCAGCTATTGTCAGCAGATACCATGACAGCAAGAGACAGAGCTCCCTTGGAAAACAGCTCCATAAAATGGAATGAACTCTGTTGAAAACTTAAGACCACTGCAAACCTCACTGCTTTTCCTCTTGAGATGCCAAGTACATTGCTCTGACCGCCTGCAGTATAAACAGATAGCTATTTAGAAACTTGTATAAAATAAAATTCCAAAGCAAAACACTCCAGCAATTCTCTGTGAGCCCTTCGTCATCTGGTGGGAGGCTGCAAGACTAAGGATGACAGGTGTCAGACATGCTGAGTAACGCCTGGCTGAGAAGCGCTCGGGTGTTCTGGCAGTGAAAAGCCCCGTGAAGTGGTGCAGAAAGCAGGAAGGCTCAGATCCAGAAGGATCTCTTTGTGTGTATCAGTCTTTTCTCAGATATCCAAAAAGCCATATAAAGCATGAGTCAAGCATATAGAAAAACATAAAGCTACAACTGGCATGCTTCACTTAGGAATACACATATGTTGGCAGTTTTCCTTCTCCTCCACCCCACTTGGGGTCCAGGTTCAGCCATTGGTTAAACACTTTCCTAGCTTCGATGGACACGAACCTTCAGGACAGATTTGAAGTTAAGCCTGTACTTTACTACCCTTAGGTAGTAAACAAGGCTTGACAATGAACTTAAAATGAAGTCCATAAACTTCATGGAATAAAAAAAAGTAGTGAAATGTTCTGAAAGTGAACTAAAAATCCAGCCAGTTCAAGATTTCATCTCATCAAACACTAAGACAAAGCCATTTTTCAGGCTAAGTACATCTGGCACTACAGCTCAAATCTCAGGTGAATAAAGGTCCTGGTTATGGCAAGCATTTTCAAAAAAAAAAAATAAATCTTGGCTGTCAAACACTCAGTCCTGTCATGCTGGCCATTTCCACAGTAAGGAAAGCGTGTTGTGCTTTGATGACACAGCTCTTCCCTTGTCCATTTTATCAAGCAGCGAAGAGAAAATAATTGAAAAAGACAAGGCCTCTGGCCTTCTGGGTGTGTTTCGAACTGTGCATGTCAATGCAAAGCTGCAGCCTCATGCTCCCAGGCATGCATAGCACTCACCCTGCTGCCAGAGCTCTCAGGACACTGATAAACTCTTGATACTGCTTAAAATAGAAACCAACCATTCCTCTTCACAACACACATCAAAAAAACATGCACAACGTGATTTCTACAAAACTTTACACTGCTGATCAGAAACTTATATGGCAATTAGGCACAGCATATACTTCAGATTCTTTTTAGATCCTCAAACATATGAATGCTATCATGAGCCCTTCATCACTGAGGTCATCATTGTGGTATGCTATGAACAAATCAAACCTTAAGAGATTGCACAGATCTTCAGACTAAGGTCAGGAGCCAAAATCAGGTATAAGAAGGTGAGATTCAGTATAAAACATCCCAGCTGCGTCCTGTTGAAGGATGATGGGATGATCTGCACAAATGTCAAATCAAACATAGTTCTTACCAAAGTACTTGAGCTTCAGAAAACACTTGCTAATGGTCCTGCAGCTCCTCTGCTAAAAGCTTTTCACACTTCATTATGCCCAACTCAGAATGCTTTATGCACAACAGAACAGCTGACCCTGTTCCCCCTCCGAATATACTGGAGTTACTAATATGCAGTTCTTTCTCACCAAGACGTGAAAGCATTAATGACTCACCAGAACACATAGAATCAAGAGGACTTGGGGTTTTCCTTAATCTCAGATTGCAATGAAAGAAAGGAATTTCAGAAATTAACTTTCCCAGTATCTTACAATGAGTTTAATACTGTGTTCTGGAAGGCTTATACTCCTGAATCTGACCAAAAGTACCACTGGGAGGTGGTACCCTTTTTGAACACATAGTACAACAAAGGAATCCAGATCAGAACTTCTAATCATTGTGTGTTCCAGTGTCATTCTGTAATAGTTACTAGTGTCAGAACTCTATTCCTGACACATCTTACAGCCAAAACTCTTACTGTTTCTACAGAAAATACTCAAGCTGGTGAAAGGAGAAAAATCACTGGCAATTACTTTTTACCAAGTTAGCTGAAACATATTCTTTCCAATTAGGATTCAAACACGTTGATAATTCAGTAACATCCAGGAGACAGATGATAAGGGAGGGTTTCATGAAGTGACCCTTTCCAGCCTGAATGCAGCTTCCAGTGTAGCAACTATTACTGGGGAAGGGCTGGTTTCACCCACAAAGAACTAGCTTTCCCTGGTAATTGTTAAACAGCATCACAGTAGGCTTTGGCCTTTTAATAGTTTAATTGCTTTTTCTTCCTGAATTCCAGCAACTCCCATTCACACCACATAGTCTAAGGCAATCTTAGGAACAGTACAACAGCTTCAGTTTTGGATATTTTAATCACAGCATTTTGTTGCTGTTTTTGGTAAAAGATGTGAAAGTCGGCACAGACAGTAGAGAACTGGCAAAAATCTCTAAGAGCCTCTGCCCAGGAAATAATTTTGACTCACAGTTTTTGTCAAGCCTGTTATCATCCATTATAGATAATTATCACTACACTGAAGACTGAAATTGAGAAACATGGAACAAAAAAACCTATACTGGTGCTATGTGTTTGTCCTCCAAGACGCATAAGGGGTGCCATGCTTTCAGAGCTGAGCAAACAAATTTTGGTATCAAAGCAGTTTTGCTTGGGTGGGGTTTTTCTCCCCTTTAATCCCTATACACACATTGTTCTTATGATAAAAATCAGGTACTTAAAGCAGCAAATGCCGGTGTTGATACTGTAACATTCATTAACCTACCACATACCTCTCTGTATTTGCACTGCTTTATCTTTTTTCTATATAAATTGTGTATCATTAAGTTATCTGTACAGCAGCTGCTGAAGAAATAATAGGACAAATTTAAATACCCATTCTTCCTTCATCTTCCAAGTCCCGAAGTAACCTGTTAACAGGACTTGAGTCCAGCCAGCATTCAAGAGGCCCCATCTCAGACAGCTTTTGTAAGAAGTGTTGCTGGCATGCGCATGCCTACACCCTGTCCAGGTCAGTCTACTATTATCTTTTATGCCTCCCAGTCACATTTTCTTTTCCCCAGTAACTGCCAGATCCATATACACTTCACAAAACATAACTGAAAATCTTGAGAATACAAATCCTGCATTATTCCCAAACATGTGAGAATAAGAGAGTGGGCTTTCAATTAATCTGCAGACATCTGCAGAGGATCAAAGCATGTATTCTAAAGCCTGCAGAAAAAAACAGGTAAAAATACTTACTTGTAGCACTGATTTGGGTATAATTTAGTTAAATTCATGCAAACATACGAGACCTGTGCATTTTAATGAACTGAAAAGAGCTAAAATCCTGTGTGACTATTTTTAAAAGAACAGATTTATTCTAAAGATCCTTCACAAAGAACAAACCAACTATATTCTGCAGGCTATGCACAGCATGTGAGAGTTCTGAATATTTGATAATTTCACCCAGAAATTCCTTCACCAATCAAAAGGCAAGTGGTTTCCTCACCTCACCTTAGATTTCGTCAGGAACCTTGCTGTTGTAGGGCAGCAGGCTCACAGAGGGGAATCTGCTTTTAAAAGTTGCAAAAAATGCCCCCTTTTTAAAAAAAAGGCTTTTTTATATGTAGAGCTCACTTCCCTTCTCAGGAAGGAAGCAGCTTAACCAAAGCCCTGCTGAATTTAAGATAGTAAACTATAAAACAAGAACAGGAGTAAACTCACATTCAAAATTAAGGGATTTAGAGGGACATACAGAGAAATCCCACAGTGCAACTGCTGTCTCTCAAGTCAGTCAGTCACCTTTTTTATCTCCAGTATCTAAATCTTCTCATAAAACCCAAAGCAACTCCCAGAGTGGCAAAGCAGGAGTTCCTGCATGTTCCTTCTCTGGCCTGACACAAGCCACCTTGGTCAGAAGAGGGTTGACAAAGAAGCCTCTCAGCTTCCTGAGTGCCCTTGTTGGGTCTGTAAATACAAGAAACTGAACAGAAAACTGCAATGTAACAACAGTAAGGCTACATGGTAGAAACAGATCGCAGCCTGATATGTGCCCTCCCACCACATGTTCTGGAGCTTGGTTAATGGGGCACTGTCTAGGATGTCAGGCACGCAGAAGCAGCAGGGAAGCTCGTAGGAGAAGGACTCAGTGCTGGAACAGGAAGACACCTGCCTGTATAGTTTGCTCAAAGGCTCACAAGGGACCACCACATCTGCTAGGGGTATGTCACAATGCCCGCTCACCCTCCAGCCACACTCACAGCAGTACCTGGGGATTTTAGACTTACCATTCCTTATTTTGAGTTCAGTAACCTACAATAAATTAATGTCATATAATGCAACATACTTTGCAATATTGAGAAGTTTAATTTTTGAATGCACTTGAAATAAAACTAGTCCTGCTGATTAGTCAAGAATATTACAAAAACTCCAGCCAACCTGGAGCTAAAGTTATCAACTGGCAGGCCGATGCTAGCACACTTACTGACCTGTTATATGATGCCAAACAGGAAATATAATGGCTGAATTCTTCCTACCTTTCTCTTAACAGAAGCACTTGTTTCACTTTTTCTCCTCTATTTGGCTACTGATTTACCTTTTATTTGTAAGGAAGAATATATTCAGCATCCAAGGATTATTTTGGCTAGTATTTTACAGTTTCCTTTATGAAATAAAACCCTTCACCAACTGCTTTATGAGATCTTCCTTGCCTTAAAATTAGTTTACTTGCACCACTGTTATCCCACAGATCAAGATACCTACTTTTCTTTTCACAGACAACACATTATTCATTCTGTTTAAAAAAAAAAAAAAAAAAAAAAGGATAAACCTCTGTCTTCATTTAATGAGAGCAAAGAGAAAGCTGAACTATCGTGTCAGTTTCTAAGGCATTTACCAGTACTGACTGCAGGTCTGAAGTGACTTCATATCTTCTGACAGTGATCTCTCCGGAGATCACAAAGAGCAATTCTTTTATTTTTCTTTTATTTTCACATGTATCTTTACCGCAGTTTATTTGTACAGGCAGAGCATTTTATAAAGGAACGTGAATTGGATTAAAATGCAAGACAGACATTTGTCCATTAGTTCAAGGGAAAGGGAAAAAAAACAGTAGTTGCCTTGAAAAATTCTGTGAGTGATTTACTGATTTTTCTTTCTTACATTCTCAGTCCCACTTGGAAGTTTTCCTCCTCATATATCTGGACCCCTCACTGTCGATTGCTTCGTAGAGGTCCTTTTTATTCTCTGCAGTTGCATGCAAATAACCAAGATAGGCCACACAGAGGCTAATAGCTATCAGTCCAAATGCCATCACAGGTTTGTTCTGACAAGAAAAAAATGTGGTAAATGTTTTTAGTAAAAACATTTTTCATTAAACTCAAACATTACATTCTTCTATCTCAGCTTAGAAACTGAACAGCAAACTATTGTGACATCTGCAAAAAATCATCACTGCCTTCTTGTAGACTGAATTTTCTGAGAGCAAAAGGACTTCCTTTTGAAAAAGAAGATTCTTTCTATAGACAGTACAGCACATTGCCCAGTACTCTGTATTTTGGTTGGAAATGCTGATTGAGCATGAATGAACCAGACAAAACCAATTACTGAAGGTCTCTACTACAAATTTTTAACAGAATTCAACTGGATATACTACTGGGACAATACACTCTGGTCCTGCTTGATTACAATCCTCTAAACCACATTTTGTATTCTTATCACAAAATCTACTTTTATTGCACTAAATCTATACTTATTATATGCACAACATTTCACTCATTGCTGGGTTCTGCAAATGCAAATAAAACCCGAGTATCATCAATTTAATTATAAAAGCAAGAAAAAGGAAAACCCAAAATACTGAGAAGCTACCAAAAATCACCTCATTTCATATCAAGAAAGTTTGCATTGTATGATTTGTTCCCTTTTAAATATTAAAAACCACCCCTGTTGTTTTTATTACTTAATAATAAATAATAGTATAACTTAACCTGTCAAATTACATGGGTAATATACGTTTAAAAAGTCTTTCTGAAAGCAGCTTGCCCAGGTACAAAAGAATCAGACAATATAACAGCAAAATAAAAGCTGCAATAAACAATGTAACATTCTGTGCTCTCAACAATCAAGAGTGGAAAAAAGTAAAAATATTTTTAGTTACATTTCTGAGTGGTTTGCATAACAAAAGATGTTTACATAATGCACAGAGAATTGTAACAATTACTTTAAAGCAACTGTATCTCTTCAAGCAGATTTAGTTTCAGAACGACTGTCTTACAGGTTTAATGAAAAGCTCGGGGTTCACAGCCCGGAAAAGCATAGTTGTCTGAACATTCCTCAGTCCTGGTTTTCTCTCTTTGAGTGTTTCATTTTCATTTGAAGGTTTGGTGGAAGACATTTTATTTGATGTTGAATAGTTCCTAGAAGTAGAATGAAAAACAGGTGTAATATCTGTAAAAAAACTGGGAGATTTTTTCCACTGAATTTTTTACATTCACTGAATGCAAATTCACACTCAGTTTGTCTTCTAACAGCATGAATTTTAGCTAATGTAAATATTACTGATAACCTCCAATGTCACCTGGAGGTAGCTTAGGCACACCAATTTTCAATCCTGGTAATTTTGTGCATCCTAAAATCAACTTTTGGAAGTTCACATCTTCATATAGCCATTCTAAATCTCTTGATAATGGACTTGGGGTTTTTCACTTGCCTTTGGCCAATGCTTTAGCTACCTGTGGACCAAGTAGGATCAGTCTTCAGATCACCGGCTAAAAAGACAACACCAGGAAAAATTTTATTTTTTAAAAACTATTCTACACGGCAGGACAGCCCAACCACTACTGTAGTGCAGTCACTTCAGCCACCCACCCCAGCACTCAGGTCTCACTTTTACACGCACTGGGCACATCACAAATGTCTTGGGTTCAAACTGAAAGAGGGAAAAATTAAGCTCCTTGGAATGTGCAAGAAATTCTTTATTCTGGGGGTGATGAGGCACTGGAACAGGCTGCCCAGAAAAGGTGGGGATGCCTCATCACTGTAAGTGTTCAAGGCCAGGCTGGATGCGGCCCGAGCAACCCGATCTTGTGGAAGGTGCCCCTGCCCCTGGCAGGGGCGTTGGAACGAAACGATTTTTAAGGTCCTTTCCAACCCAAACCATTCCATGAGCACCTGAGCAAAGGTGGAAAAACACGCCCTTGGCAGATTACTGAGGGGCAGAGGAGACACGGTGCCGGGGATCCCCTGGGAAGGGAAGGGCAGCGCAAAGGCAGTCACACAATACCATCCGGAGCGGCGAGGAGCTCCTGGCGCCGCCACCGGGACGAAGGGGACAGTTTGACCCTAATCTGGAAAAGCCCAGCTGGAACTCCCGGGACCCGCGGGACCACCGCCTCACGGAGCGGGGCGGCTGAGGGGCCACTAACGCCGCGCGTGCCTCCCCGCCCCCCTCGCTACTCACCGCTCGCGGCCAGCGGCACCTCCCCGCAGGGCGGGGCTGCGCCTGCGCGCTGCGCCCCCTCCCGGGCGGAGGCCGGCGGGGCGAGCGGCTTCCGCCCCTCCTCTTCCTTCATTCGTGTGGCGGCGGCAGGAGCGCGTTCTCCCCGGTTGGAGCCGTGGAGCTGCCTGCCGACGATGTCCCAAGATGTCATAGAGCCATCAAGGCTGGAAGAGACTTTTAAGGTCATTCACGCGACACTACCACTGTAACCCGTCGCCACTAAATCACCCAGCGCTAGATCCAGACGCCTCTTGAATACCTGCAGAGATGGTGACTCCACCACTTCCCTAGGAAATATTTCAACGCCTGATCACCCTAACAGTGAAAAAATATTTTACTAATGTCTAATCTAAACGTCCCCTCTTGCAGTTCAAGGCCATTCCCTGTAGTCCAGTCACCACAGGCATGGCAGAAGAGACCAGCCCCAAAAAACTTCTTTCAGGGAGTTGTGGAGAGGGATAAAGGCCATCTCAGCCTCCTCTTCTTCAGAATAAACAACCCCATGTCCCTCAGCTGCTCCTTATAAGACATGTTTTCTAGACCTTTCAAGAGCCTTCTTGCCGTTTGCTGGCCACACTCCAGCACCTGAATGTGCTTTTTAAAGTGAAGGGCACAGAAGAGAATGCAGCATTCAAAAACAGTAAGTGGGAGGTGGGGAGAAGAGCTGGCTTGATCAGATGAGCCCTTCACTGCTGAGCCCACTCCTAACACCTGAGCATGGTCACAGCCAGTCCTGGCTTCATCCTCTCAGCAGCCTCCCTTCACATACCGACAGACACTGTTGAGGCCCCCTTTTAGTTGTCTCATCTCGAGGCTGAACAGGCCCTGCTCCCTCAGCCTTTCCTTGTAAGAGAGATGCTGAAGTCCCTTGATAATCTTTGTTTCCTTTCACTGCTCCCACTCCAGGAGCTCCACGTCTCTGTTGTACTGAGGAGAACAGAACTGTCTGGTTGATCCCAAGTGTGGGAATGAGGAAGGGGTGATTCATGTGTGGACAGTCTCTGGGAGTACAGCTGGCTGAACAGAAAAATATGCTACAATTTAAATGTCCGACTTCAGTTGTGTAGATCCAAACCCAGGACTTTGGGCATCTGGAAACTCCTGGTTGCATAAATGCTGCTGTGTGGTGGCATTTTGTTTCCTTTTATTTGTAAACAGTAAAATTAATAAAATTACTTGAAGTCCAGAGGAATCAAAGCCCATGTGCTTGCCTCTGACTGCTTGTGCATCCCTTTCTACCTTCACTGGCTTCAGTGCCACCAGGCAGTTTCAGCTACATTATAAAGTAGGGGAGAAATTTGGAATTTTGGAAAAAACAGTACCTGGAGGGTAGAGCGGGACACAGATCAGTGCTCCCTTAGGTAACTGGCAGGCAGAACTGAGATGTGATGGATAGTATTACAGTTTTAGCAGCAGCGAGCTGCTGGATTAGCACATGTAGCTCTGGATTCACCAGCCCTGGCTCACACTTTTCTGCACCTGGAGGGTGAGTGAGAGGACTTTGGTGGAGTGTCTGGTTATTGAAGCCTGGGAGGCAGAAGGGAACAAACGTAAGTTTTGGCTAACAGTGGCTGAACACAAGCTGGCAGTGTGCCCAAGTGGTCAAGAAAGCCAGTGGCATCCTGGCCTAGATCAGCAATAGCGTGGCCAGCAGGACCAGGATTTGTTCCCCTGTGCATGGCACTGGAAAGGCCACACCTCGAGTGCTGTGTCCAGTTCTGGGTCCCCTGACTACAAGAAAGACACTGAGGTGCTGGAGCTTGTCCAGAGAAGGACAACAAAGCTGCTGAAGGGTCTGGAGCACAAGTACCATGAGGGGACACTGAGGGAGCTGGAGTTTTTCAGCCTGGAGAAGAGGTGACTCAGGGGGAACCTTATCATCCTGTACAACTACCTGAAAGGAGGTTGTGGTGAGAGCTGATCTCTTCTCCTAAGTAACAGCTGACAAGACAAGAGGAAATGGTCTTACATTGCACCAGGGAGCTTTAGATTGGACATTGGCAAAAATTTCTTCACTGAAAAGGTGAAGGGAGTGTGGCATTGTAACAAGCTGTCCAGGAATGGCTCAAAAGACATGTGGATGTGGCAGTTGTGGATACGGTTTAGTGGTGAAAACAATGACTGTAGGTGTACAGTTGGACTTGATAAACTTAGAAGTAATTTCCAACGTTAATGCATCTATGATTCTATGAAATGTAGCGGTATCCAGGCTCACAGAGATTCCTGTTCCATGTTTTTCTTCTGCAGTAATCAAACTGCCTTTCTTTCTTTTTTTTTTTTTTAAAGATGGCCGAGTAATAATAAATTGCAGGTTAACTTTTCATGTCTAAATCCAGATGGACTATCTAAATTTTTTTTTTCTTGTTGTGAGCAAATATAATAAGGTGAGAAAAATAATAGGGAAATAAGTTTAAGTGTCAGGAGAGGATTGAGTGGTATGTCTGGGGTTTGTGTCAACAATTAATTCACAACATACCATCTGCTAATCTGGTAGCTATTGTTTTGGTGGCATATGCCATGCAGCTGATTTTGTTTGGAAACTATTGAGTAGAAAATCTGAGTGAAGCTGCTTTTGTTTGTTTTCATGTTTGTCTAATTGAAAGAAGCCAATGTGAGGCTTTTGCAAGAGCTTGGTTTTTGGGAAGGTAGCTCGGTTTTCTTGAGGGGAAGGGGGATTTTTTACTGTCATATAGGAGATGTTCCTCATACAGCTCCAAGGCCACATCCCTCACAAATTTTTCCCTCACAAATTTTTCCCCCCACATTTTGGAACCCAAAAGAATTACATCAACAGAGAGATGGTGCACTCACTTACTGGCCCGTGCACCCCTTCCCAGCAGTTACACTACCCATGCAGATAAAACTTTTGATCCAAAGTCAGACAGGGTCATGATTGTTTTTTCCAGATTGTGGTAGGATGGGTTTATGCCAGAACACATTTTCAATATATTGGTGTCAAGTATTGTTATGTTGCTGCTAGTTCTGTAGCACTTCCCTTCTTTCTTATAAAGGACAGGTAAGTCCCAGATATCATTGACAGGGGAAAATCCTACACAAAGAACACCACTGGCTGAAAAAAAAAATTCTTCATATGAAGAGCTTTGGGATAAGGCTTTGTGTGTAAAAAGAGAAGCAGAGAGGGATGTAGAAACAGGCTTAGGCTTTGATGTGAATGTTGGTACTTGGCATGTGTTAAGCATGTGCCAACTAACCAGATTAACTGTGCAGTGATGAAAAGCTTGGACTACTGTTTCTAGTTTTGCTTTATGACAGTAGGAAAATGTTGTATTTTATATTTAATGTGAATATTATGTTGCTATCATCTCAACAGGATGTTGAAACATCCAATCCATTAAGGCTTATGAAGTTGTTTAGCATATTATCTAGGTGAGACTCTATAAAAGTGTAGAATAGTAAACATCTGTGGTATTTCTGAGTCACCCATCCTCTTAATATCTGAATATCTCTCCTGAAAAGAAATCACACAAAAACCCCTTCCTTTTCTAAACCTGAGGCTGTTACTGAGATTTATTTTCCTTTCAACTAAATTCCTTTGGGATTCTGCATTCAGTACTGTGCTTTGTGCTATAGCCATTCACAACCTAATAGCAATTTCTGCTTTTCTTGAGGCTCACATGCCCTTATCATTTGAGCTGCAGAAGATCCTCTGTAGAGAAGAGAGCAAAGTCAGTGCTGTGCCCCGCAGACATGGTTAGAATGCAACAGCCAGCCTGGTGTGGTCTGGGGAGCAGCACCGTGCCTCCTGCTTTTGCTGACTGACCTCACAGCTCCTGCTTATTTCAAGTATTGCACAAGAACAGAGCTTTGCATTGTCTTCAGAATAAAGATAATGTGCTTCAAGCTACTGACAAGCTTATCCTTGCTTTAGAGACACAGTTACAGTGCTGTTGTGGTCAGAAAAAAATCCTTTTTGAATCGACACTGGGATTTCAGCACTGGTATGACTTGTAGTGAGAGGGGCAACTACCAGCACACGTTTGTTAGAGTTTTGATATGTGAATGTGAAACTCACATTTTAAAATTATTTTTTAAATGTTTAAGACACCATGAGTTTCACAATGTTTTAATTAGAGTAGACAACTGGGACTTTTTTTTTTGTTTTGTACTGAACAAATCTGGGGGAGAAGGGGAAGTAAAAATTAGTAATTAGAAGTACCTTTTCCTACTTGCTCAAAGCTAATGATGAGAGTAACCATTGTTTCACTGAGGCATGTGAAACACTATGGCCATACCAAAGACATAAATGCATAAGAAACAAACAGACCAGTTAGACAGGGATGGCACTGAGGGTATTGAGGGTTTTCTGTGCGGTTGTTGCTCTGCTCATGTCAGTCTCGAGTCCTTATGCTGATTTTCGGCAGCTTTTGCTCCTTTGTGTTGTTCCCATTGAAAGAAAGCTGTTTTCAGACAGCTTTGGGACCCTACCATTGACAATCCAAAATAGTTTTAAGGCAATATGCATTTTAAAACCAAAAATCTCTTAGTGTGACTCTTCTGCATTTCCTAACGTGTATGTCTTCTATAATACTTGTTAGCCAGCCGTGTCTCTGTGAGACAAAACAAATCACCCAGCCGTGCTTTCCAGCAAAGATTAAAGCAATTGTTATTCTTCAAACACTGATCAAGCTTATAAATCTTTTTCAACTGAATTCAGTATGGAAGGAAAAAAGCGCTTTGTTTGAGTGGGTAAATTGGTTCTGACTGGGAACAAAATATCAAAACTCAAAGCATCCGCTCTAGAAAGAAAAAGGTGGCTTCTACTACAAAGAAAGTGCAGAGAAACACGTGCAGCCCTGAATTTTCTAGCTACAATATACAGCCAGATACCTTACAGTGGGGTTTAAAGACAAATGTGAACTAAGACTGCATCTCCAAAAAGGAAGGGCAAGGGGGGACCTCTTTTCATTTGTAACTGCTCTGGATTTC